CCACAAGATCCCATGAATGAAGTTACAATTCGCAACTAAATTGTGAGAAGAATTGACCAAGCTCAGAACTGCCAAGTAACAAACATTCCTACAAAATAGCAACTCCTTACCCATATATTTTTACTTCAGCCGCAAACACAACTACAGCTGAAGTATGAAATAACTAGTCTGACAGTAATCAGCTGATGTGTGCAGATGCTCCACTACACAGTAAAGCAAATCAACTCCCAGTCCTCACATTTGGCATTTCAGGATACAAGGATAATAACCAGCACCATGAGTAATTCCCATACAAATATCTAGTTGAGTAAAGCTTATATTAGATGAGTTTCAACAAAGCACATTCAAACTAAGAGAAAGTAATGGGGGAAAGGCAGATCTGCAGAGTTTAAAATCTGTGCTCCTTTGAAAGTCAATGCGAATATAGTCTAAGCCCGAGTATAAGCTTTTAAATCAGTACTAAGTTTAAATTTTTAAATCAGTACATGAAAACTAACAGCCACAACACCACATTCCAGTAATTCATGATGTTCTTAAGCAGTCTCCAGAGCCATTAATTGTTTCTCAGCCTCATGTTCTTCCAGCACCCCACCTTTGCCACCTTAAAACTCTGCTGTTGTCCACCTCCTTTCCTGCCCAAAGCTTTGTCACAGCCTCCTTCACACCCACGCTTATTCCTCCCAAATGCCTTAATCTGCTCCCAGAGCTGCTGCTGCCATCCAGCCCTTTCAGCCCCTCAGACCCTTCCGCCTGCAGTCACTCGGAAGCACCAACCTTCATTCGGGGTTAAAGCTAAAAAGCCTGGCAGAGCTTGTCTGTTCCTCTGATGTTCTTACTCTATGGATGCTTCTATAGCCCTTAGCCCTTAGACCTATTTCTTAGAAGCCTGAAGTGATGCTTTGAAAATGAGGGATCACTGAAATCACACGTATTCTAATACGCAATGACACATATTCTAATATGTAGCTCATACACAAACAAAGATCTTAAGTAACTGTAAATGCAAAACAAGTATTTGCTTATATTACTATTTCACTTAAATCACTAACACCTGATATCACATATCTCTTGAAAATATTATATTCTTAGTGGTCTGAGTTTATACTCCTATCCACTGCTATACAACCATTTGACACTGTTTACAGTTAAGAAAAAAAAAGTGCTTATTTTAGAAACACACACTGTGCTTTTAGGACTGCTCAGTGACTTTCCTGAACCTTTAAAGGCTTTTGAGGCGGTCTTTCTTTCCTTTCTTTCTCTCTCTCTCTCTTTCTTTCTTCTTTCTTTCTTTTCCTTCCTTCCTCCCTCCCTCCCTTCCTTCCTTCCTTCCTTTCTTTCTTTTTGAAGTCAAACCGCCAGAAAACCATTGGATGTTAAACAGCACACAAAAATCTTAAAATGAAAAATTGCTAACCAAAGCCTTAGAAACAGCTCACAAGCCTGGCCTCTGTGTGGTAACTAGTCTCAGACATAAGGCTCTATTCATTTAGACATACGAGGAAGGAAAAAAAGAAAGCCAAAGACTGTTAGCTAAATTCACAGCACAGGATCAAAATTAATTCCTGTACTCACTTAATGATTACCTAAGGAGGATTCCTGATATACCTTAATTTCCTGCGGAATTTTAATTACTTTAGAAAAAGAATACAGGAATGGAGTTCAAGGTCTATTTTTTCACAGCAATTATTATGCAGGAAGTATTCTTCTCTACTATATCTTCTCAAGAAAGCTGCCTTTTTAAATATCTCATCAATTTTTAATTTGATAAAGCTTCCATGTTCTGCTCTCCCTTTTGATTTGACTGCTGAATCTCCTCTGTTCATAGGAGCCCTGGCACAAAGAGCAGCAAAGCAAAGCAAAGCAAACTGCCGTCCATCCATCTGTCCATCCATCCACGGGCCACTGCTCCCTCTCCACGCGGTGTCCGTGCCTGGGAACCCAACCAGATAAACACATGAGCCTACGGTTATCCAAAGATTGCACTTCAGCTGCAATGCAACGCACTAGTGGGCGGGAAGGGCTTTTCTTTTACCTTGTTTACACAAGATCTATCATCTACTCCAGCCTGCTTTTAAGTCTTTGATACCTTACACTGAGGAGATTACTGACACCCAATTAAAATCTTCAGTCACATTGTTGATTTTTTGTGGACTTACCAAATCAAAATTTGAAGGTCATCACCTTAGAGACCAGAAGCCCTTTACTCTAAGATTGTTTTACTTATTGTGCAAGCAAAGTCAGCCCTGTCTGACAGAAAACAATTTCTTGATAGGCTCTATTTGGCCTTGACTGCATTTAAAAGCAAAACACCCAACTCTCCAATGTCCGTACAACTTCTAATGTAACTAAATCAGAAATTTCTTTTAAACCATCTTCCTCTCCAAGCACATTAGAGATAATTAGTCATCTGTGGAAGAAAAAATATAAACAGCAAAAGGACTGTATACTACTTTTTGTTTTAAAAGAGTCTTTCATACTGTGAAGGCGAAAGATGGACTAACATAATATTTAAATAAATACATGCACGTGTGTGCACACACGCCCACATGTGTGTTCTCATTTCTCATGCCTCCAGTGAAAGATGGCATGGCCCTTCAGACTTCACTCTCATCACTTTTAAACTTACAGGAAGAAGAATCCTCTCCACAATATACTACAATCTTGGTTTTACTTATATGCCGAAAGAGAACTGTGAAAATCTTGCCTTTGCTGATTATTAATGGGATATTCAGCCTAGTACTGCAATAAATCAAGAACTCAATCTGAAGGTTAAAACATTTCCCCTTACAACAGAGTGAAAACAGAAAATGAAAGCCAATGTCATCCCCTCTTCTCTCTTCTACCTGCAACACTAGGCAATGCAGAGAGTGTTCAACTATACATCTGACATGGAAATTTTACTGGTCAAAACATTTCCAACATGGCATTTAACAGGGCCAGAGAAAGGATTTTCTCTTTGTTTTCCTAAAACGTTGCTGGAAACTTTGTGCGCTCCCTCTCCCAAGCTAAGGAAAGACTAGTTAAACCAGCACAAGAAAGAGAGTGGCTGCTATGGAACTTGACAATCAATTAGAGGCTTTTTAAAAACTCTGATTTTCCTTTATATATATATATATATAGGTTTTCCAGAGATTCAACTAAACATTATAATGAGACATTAAAAGCTGAGGCTGGTTGCTCTGACAGATAAAATCTTTCAGGCCACTGAGGCAGAACCACAAATGTAGCAAAATTTAACCCATGAACCTAACAAAAGAGGACTTTATTATTTATTTGGACTCTAGCTGTATCTAGCAATGTCTTACAGTCCTAGACAAGTGTTAGTATTGTCACAGACATTTTCTAACTCTTTTTGAGTCTTTAACCCTAAAAAGGTTAGTATCACAGAAACAACTAAGCAGTGAAGATGAACTTTCAATGGACATCCTATAACCATGTTTAATGGAAAATACAGCTACTTATACTCAAGTTAAATACTTTTAAAAACAATTCTTCTTTAACAGATTTACTACTATTTTTTTTAAAGCATAGTTGCCTACTGGCAACACAGTTACAGCAGAAGGATGGCACCATCTGAAACACTGTATGTACCAAAAGTGTTTGTAAGATTATCTACAGAGCTTCCAGCATCAATCAAAGCTACAGCACCATCACTAAAATCTCTTGAAGGACTTGCAATGAGGATAGTCAGATAACTATACAGTAATTTAAACAGTTAAACAAAACTATCCATTTCAAACAGCACAGAAGCTTTACCAAAGACTAAGGAATTTTGCACTGCAAACATAAACACTAGAATTTCCTGTTTCATGTGGTTGAGAAATGAACTTATTCATACTAAAATCTATCATTTTTGATGAAGTAACAAGCATTTCTGAGAGTATTTCTTTAAAAATTTGTGGCATCTTCCATACTTTGAAAGATGGCAATAAAAACGACATATAAAATCAGGTAATTCTTGGGTTTAATGCTATTGCTTTAATCATCCTACAATCTAAAGGCCAATCAAATTGTTGCAGACTGTGTCCACTGAAGTCCTGTTCCTTTATCCAGTGCAGCAAATACATACTGAGCTGATAATTGCAGTAATGCTAATTAAAAGACAAAAAACACCACTACATTGACAGTGAAATTGCCAATTAGCACATAAGGTGCTCTCATTACTGTTGGTGACAGAAATATGAAGCCCAATGTGGACAGCAGTCATGAAAACAACAGACATCTCAAAGAAGCTGGTAGGTCGCACTTGCAGCTTGCTTTGGGAGTGCTGCTGGAGTCAGTGTCTGAGACGCTGACCTATAGGAAAGAAAGAAATTCCTACAACATTTTGTAAAATCACTGCAAAAAAACATCACCATTCTTCACAACTACATGCACAATGCCTTTCAAAAGAAATAGCACTGCTCCTCCATAGACACTAGAAAGCATTAAAAAAAAGGACTAACCTTTCACAGTGTTCCCTGATTCATACTTCATGTGAGGCATCCCCATAAGGGACTATGAATGGAGACTGAAAGCAGTCCAGATGATCTTAGTGGCTTTTAATCTTCAGAAAGTATAGATATTTTGATTTCTTTCAGTCTATTTTAGTCATTGGATATTTTATCAAAATTAACCCTACCTCTATGCCCTATACCACTAAGGCTATTTACAGAAGTTATCGTACGCTTGATATAGCCTATATTCCCTCAGGTCTGATTTTTTTTGTTTTTCAAAGGTTCTGAATTCTAATTCTGGAGGCCTTGTGGTGAAGAAAAGCGAAATACTTTCAGCATTATCTTCCTAGCGAGAGCTGGATTACATATTTATTTTCCACTTCCTCTACCTTAATGAAGTATTTTGTTGACCATAATCAATTTCTTTGCACTGGAGAAAAATTTACAATCATCTACAATGAAGGTGTGTCTAAGGAATGGGGTGAGGGGAAGAGAAATCAATGGAACCATCTGTCTGACATTCCTACAACATTATAAGAGACTTGTAATTAACTGCTTGCCTACCAAAGTCTGCCAGCTTTAACTCCCCCGTGTCACTGATCAGAAGATTCTGTGGTTTCAGGTCCCTGTGCAAAATGTAACGCTGGTGGATGTAAGACAGTCCTCGCAGCAACTGAAATAAAAATAACTGAAAAAGAGGGGGACAAAAAATGACCTCTGTTAATAATTTGCATATAACCACACCTGATTTCTTCACAATATGCAGGGTGCTTATATATTGTGGCAACATTGTGTCAGAATTCCTCCCAAACTGCCATCACTCCCACCCAAATTTAACACAATGAAATTTCAATCTAAAAATATGCACTTTGCAAGAACTCCCGGGCTCCTAGCCTGCTACATTATACATTCAATTTGCCTGCTTTAAACAGAACAAGAGTAATACAACCAGTGCAGAAGGCTGAATTTCGACCAAATTATAATTATAGTCCATTTACCCATATGGCCTCAGAGATTAGGTGGTAGCCTGAAGACAGATGTGTATCTTCCCTAATTATAAGAAACAACAGTTCAGGCTGGATAGGGATGGGGAGATAAGGCTGGGGGATGGGACGCTAGAGCTAAAACAAAGGAGAAATTAATATAATACCAATAATGCCTGGAAATGTACAAATGCAATAGGGTTTTTCCCTCAAGGTTTTATACAGGATGTTTATGTAATTTTCACTAAAAATAATAGTTCACACTGAACTCAAAGATGACTTTCAAAATCTATTTATAAGAGTCTTCCAGGTAAATTTATATGGGAACCTAAATCATCCCCATGTTTCTTTTAACTCTTCAGTGTACTCTACAAATGCTTTTTCTACAATTTTGTATTCAGGCGGTGTATTTCTGCAATTTACTGTTATAAAGATTTAAGTGACGGAGTTCTTTTGTCCTCCCCTTTTCATCTTCCCTCCATCTTTCTCTTGTGCCCTTAGAGGCACCTACCATAAAAGACCACAAATTTTAGCCTTACAGGTTTTGCCAGTACAAAGGGTCAACAATTGTTTCACAGGAGTTTTGAAAGATCTCTCCTAGTATTCAGACCTTTCATGTTGCCTGAAATATCTTAAGAAAAAAAATTATGATTTCCAAATGGAAACTGAACAAGCCTTTGCAATGTCAAGCATGGACAACTCAAGATTTGTTTTGGACCCAGCGCATCGCAGTTCAATGGATGGCAAAATGTGCTCTCCTGGAAGCTGGGGAAGCCACACCAAGGATTTGGGGAAAGTCACCCTGGAAACATCAGGCACCACAATTAAGCTGCAGCACAAGCTTCCCATTTATTTAGTGACTGCTGAAGCAAGGAGACATTATAAAGGAGTTATGAAAACTGATTATACAAGGGAATAAAGGGTGACGTGAAAGAAACAGAAATGTCATGTTACTGAAGTTGAAATGCATTTAATTGCATTTCATTTTTCCCCCAATTGCAGACACAATACATTGTATGTTTAGCTATTTAGCCAGGGCACAAAGAGCCAAATCAATCACCTCCTTGCCAGGGCTGGGTCTAACAATGTGCTGAGGAAACCTAAGAGCAAGATACAGAAACAAAAGAAGGAATAGCAAGAAAGCCGTAAGTAGCATGCACATTCCTTTTTGAGTTGTGGTTAAATGGAACTCATGGTTCAAGACTTATTTTAAGGGCAGCAAGCAGCAATAGCTTTCATTAGAGTCTTAAAATATAAATTAAATGTTATTACATAATGTCCAAACATACCTTTTTTTTTAATAGAAAAGTACGGAATAGCACCAGTTTGCTGAAGTAAATCAATGGCATTTGACCCCAAACATTATTTTTTACATATGCAAAGAAACTTCAAACATCATGTCATATTCCAGCACTCTAGTCCTTGTAATTCAGAAAGCATTAATGTGGGCTTTAATTTGGCTATAAGGCCAAGTCCAGTGATTTTACATATTGTGCTAAGAAAAAAATGTCACCACTTAACAGAATAAACGTTAGGTCTGAAAGCATGGCTTTGGAAATGGTAAGTTCTGTTCCAAATTTCTTCCATACGTTGTTTTCATTGACTATTTCCACCAAAGTCAATTAATGCACTCACAAATACCATACCAATAACTTCCTCATAAGAGGATCATGAAAGAGAAGGGGAAAAACATCGCTGAGGTCTTTATGGGGTAAACTTTCCCTTTTTTTGTTAGGTCTGAAAGCATGGCTTTGGAAATGGTAAGTTCTGTTCCAAATTTCTTCCATACGTTGTTTTCATTGACTATTTCCACCAAAGTCAATTAATGCACTCACAAATACCATACCAATAACTTCCTCATAAGAGGATCATGAAAGAGAAGGGGAAAAACATCGCTGAGGTCTTTATGGGGTAAACTTTCCCTTTTTTTGTTTTGTTAATTTTTGTTTTCTTATTTCTCAACTTTGGTTTAATTTGGTAACATTAAATGTGAAAAGACTTAAATGAAAATATGAATCTAGCCTGGTATTAGAACACTCAAGAGCAATAGGCCTTTCCAGATTGTTTGGATGGAATACAGCACAAAGAGACTCTCTATTTCCAACTCTTCCACAGTGCATAAAAAGTCAATTGGAAGGAATTGTTTCTGATGCCTCATGAAACACCTTTGCAACCTCACAGTCAAGTGTCCTCAGCTGCTTCTGAGAAACCTCTCAGCTCCCCTCCAAGACTATCTGTCTGCATTATCTTCATGAGGACAGAAATACATGATATGGAATCAATATTACATGAAATACCATTGCCTCTTATCCATACGTGTGATCTGAAATCGGCCTATCATTCTCATATTATGGTATTACCTCCTCCTTCCTCCAACTTGCTCAATTCTTGTAGTAATGAAACCTCAGCCTGGTGGTTCTGTGAGGTGAACAAGCAACTCACCCACCACTTCCTCCTATGCCTGTTAGTGGTTCAGCTCTCCCAGGCCACAGGACCACAGCCCTGCGTACTAGAAGATGACTCTAACAGAGTAAGTGGCAAACTCCATACTTGCTTTGGTGAGTGGTTGGGAAGACTGAATAAATTCACAGGTCTTGAGTTTATATGTTATTAATTTTAAAATTTATATCAACATAAACAAGGCTATTGTCAAATAACTTGTAATAGGTAAGCTCTTAGAACATGTTGGGTATACAGTTCATAGCTTAGTAAGAACTGAGGTTTTGGCCATTTTGACAAAAGAGGAGATGCAACAAAAGAGCCTTAAGATGACAAGAGTCATTATGATGAAAGTTGAAAAACAGAAAATAGAAACAAGTTATGTTACAGTAATGAAGCTTTCAGCAGTGCTTGATCTTGCATTAGGATGCTCGGCACTCTTTAAATTTAGACTAAAAGAAAATTGAATATGTGCTTTAGGCCTTTCTTATTTAATAAAGCCATGATAAAGCACATGCCCTCATCTCCCAGTAGTTATGCAGCCTTCACTTTAATCAGAACAAAATATTCTAGTAGAGAACACTCACTGCCACAGTGACAAAAATGCGTGCAGGATGCAGGTCAAAGCAGATTTGGGGTTTATGGACTGTGATATTAAAAGAACATTAGCAGCTCCTAACACTTACAAAATAAAACACTCAATGTCACAAAAATGCTAGCTAGCACCTACAACAAATGAACATCAACTTTCAGGCCACATGAGCTACACACAACACTTGACCAATTAAACCTTCTGCAAGTTTTGCCAGCTGTCTGAATTATCAGCCTTGGTTCCTGGTGTTTTTCATGAGTCTGGGTTAGGGCCCAATCTAGACCATTACATGCACTGTCAGTAGATTTGACTCAACAGCTGCAAGATGCTTATGTGTACCAGGATGCTTTACTATCTTGTCAGCCTACGAATGTCACATAGGATCCCGAGCTCTTCCCATTTAAATGAGCTCATCAAAGCTAAATTCTGACACAGACCATCCAAAACACATCTGATGGGTAGGACTGGCAAGAGTTAATGCTTTCAGACTTAAGCTCAGACAGCTCTGACAAGCAGAGTGATAAAGGAGGGTGATCATGGGTAGAACTGCTCAGATGACTTCGCATCATTGCTCTCCATTACCAGAGACGGTAAAGAAATTTTCTGGTAGAGGATGCTGGCGTAAACAAAAAGCAGGAAGAAAATCACATGTCCAGAAAGATTCTCCAGAAAAGGTACCATTTCCACACCACTTCTGCTGAGGCATCAAGGACCTCAGTGTCAGTAGGGATGCTGCCCAAAAGGAGAGACTAATGAGCCCTGTGGGGGGCTTTCTAAGTGAGAAAATGGTCTTTTCTTGATGGCATACAGAGATTTCTGAATAATTTCCTGAATTTGAGTTTCTTTACCACACATTTTACTGGGGGAATAAATGACCTAGCCCTAGACACAAAAGTAGAGAAAAGCACAGAACCCTTTTTGTTCTATATAATACATGCAAAAGCCCAACTCTAGGCTCTGCTCTCTATGTGGCAAGAGTGTACAAATGGGGCTGAGCTAAGCCAGGCCCCGACTTTACACCAGTGCTTCAGAACAGAGCTGAAAGCAGGACGGGATTAACACGGCAGTTCCTTGACAAGCCATATTGCTGTATTAGCACAGATACTTTCAAAAACTAACCACGATACAGCACAAGCTTTAGCTGCATCATCACTGATGACCCAAATGTTCTAGTGTGTATCAAAGCACACCGGTAGGGTATCATTTAATCATCAGAATTCCCTTGTGTGGATTCAGCATCAATTGGTATCACATTCAGTCTTAGTAAGTCAGCAAATCTAAAAATAGCAGTAAAAGAAACTCAATCCAGGGCACCTCATGCTTGCAACAAATTTACATCTCCTGTCATTCGGAGAATATCACAGTGAATGTTTAGCTATCTACAAAGGCAGAAGGAGCTAAGAAATCACACAGTGCAGCCATGCAGCTTTGGAAATATGCAAAACTGAATGAAAGGCTCAGTTGGGTTTGGGTTTACTAGGTAGTGTCAGAGTTTTAGATAAGCTTGTTTTAAAACATTAACATAAAGAAAATCCACCTGGTAATACGTATTATCACAGAAGCTATGAGAAATGTCTGTGTGTGACTTCTGCTAGCATGTCAAAAGATGATCAGGTATTACCATCAGTTTGACACTCTTGGGCCCTCTGCACACCCAGAAAAATACTCATGGGT